ATCTAGCCCACCCCATATGAAAGTCCATACCACAGTTCATTGTGGTTAAATACATGTAGCAATTCACCATTGTAATAGTTGATTTAGGTGTCGATTGAACTGGGTCAAGGGATGTCTGCAGAGCTGGTGAATTTACTTCTGAATGGTCCTGGAGGGTGCTTAGTGCTTTGGACAGAAAACCCAGAGCTGTTCCCGTTGGTGAGAACTGTCCATTCTATCTGGATCCCATGTGGAGCAGAAGCAGAGAACAGGCAAATTTCTTTTCTCTTTTGAGGACATTCGATTTCCTCTGCTGTGGACACAAGGATGTCCAGTCCTTGGGGACCCTACGACTTACATTACGTACATCCCAGGTTTCCAAGTCTTGGCTCTTGGACCGGAAGTTACGTGATGGCCACTGCTGGCTTTCCAGCTACAGGTCCGAAAACTTCTCAGCTTCTACAATCTCGTGAGCCAGTTCCATGGTAAATCTCCTTTTATGGAGATAGTCCTCGACATAAGATGCCCTTCACAAGTTGAAAATGTATTTAACACCCTGAATGTCCGAACTTAGCCACACAGAAACCCTGGAATGCCAATTGTTTGTTCGTGTGATCCTGAGGACCGTGGGGAGTATGGCTACCCATTGTAGCCCAGCATTGGGAAAGAGTATTATACCACAAATCACCAGCTTGGGGAAAGATCAGAATTCTAGACAGGAGCTGGCTGTGGTGTTTTATCTTTGTAATCCCAGTTACTCCAGAGACTGAGGCTTGAGACTCTCCAGTTTGAAAACATTCTGAGTGCAGTTTGAGGCCACCCTGGTCAATATATTAAGACCCTATTTCAAAAGAAAAAGAAAAGCAAAGAAAGAGAAGAAAGAGAAGAAGATCCTCCCAGTGTGGTTTCTATCACAGTCCTGTGACTGGGGTCTTATCTGTGAGGTGTTTGTTTCTCTGGAGAACCCTGCTTAATACAGGCATCCTAGCCATTCTGAAGAATGCAGTTCAGTAATGTTTGTGTATTTGCAGTGTTGTGCAACTAGGGTGATCATCAAAAAGAACCCATGCCAGTAACTCTTCATTCCTCTAATCCCCAGAGTCGGCAGCTTCCAATCTGGTTTCTATTTTCATGATTCTCTGGTTCTGGGCATTTGTTAAATGTAAACATGCCGTTCTGTAGCGTTTTCTGTCTGGTGTCTTTTCCTTTGCATCCACCTCTGTGGCTCAGCCATGCTATATCCCAGGCCAAGGCATCTTCTCTTCTCTTGTTGTGATGAAATAATAGTTCATAGTTGCATGGACAATGCCATATTTTAATTATTTTAAATCACATTTTAAAAAGGAAAATTTCCCAATATGAACCTAACCTCTTTTTTTCTATCTGAAGATCACACACAGAATTTGAGTTGCTTCTGCAAAATTCTGCTAACTGTGGTTAAATTTATAATCAAGGTCTAAATGTTTGCAATGCAACACATACTCCTATTTCTACTTTTCCTGTTTGGGCTCTAATTTCTGCTTATTAGTGGTATTTTCAAAGCATTAATTAGAAGCAGAATTACATATTAGTTCTACTGAAGATTAGAAGGTTGGCCACTGTTGAAGTGCACTCTTAGAATCTAGCTGAATTATAAAATGGCTTAAGGAGTACAATCCTGACATTTCTGGGACCTTCTAGTTTTTGATAATATGTGAAAATCCATAGAGACACAATACAGAACAGTTAGCTCACACTTTATCTGTTTGTTTGGGAAACCAAACCTTTGTAATAGTTCAAAATCTGTACCTAGGCACCCAGTGTTAGCGTCTTGGGCAAATATTCAAATCCCCCACATTTATCACATTGGGTAGTCTGAAGGCATCGCCAGCTCATTTTATAAAGCACACATTGTTTAAAATACCAGAGCGGTATCTAGTACCTTGTATCCAAAGTTAAAAAATATTTAAAAGTCAAAGTACTTAAAATTTATTTTGTAGTTAGGGAGATAGCAAGAGAAAAAGGAGCTTGTTTTAAATATGAAACTTTGGCACTATGTGTAGAAATAAAAGTTTGAACATAGTGTTGCCAAATGTTAAATAGAACCTTCCATTTTCCATTTTCAAATATAGAAAAAATATTTTAATTATTTGCTTGAAAGGTAATTGATATCTTCTCATTTTCTGTTACACAATCACATTCACAAATTCTCAGGATTATGAACTATAGAGAGGGTTTAAATTGGTCAACTACACACATAGATTTGACAGGTTTTCTGTGTTTTTGTTGCTCAGAAATGGATGTCTTATTTCAGTTATTTAACTTGAAAATCAAATGGTTTGTGTTCATTTTACAAATTTTATTCTGTAGTTGAGGTCTCTCCTAACCCCTGCCATATCCCTTACTTCAGATTTACCTGTAAATAAATGTCCATGGAGTCGCTGTTAGCTTCCTGTGGTGAGTCTTGTGCCTATTCTTTTTATTTTCTCTTTTTTTCCAGTCATTCGCAAATGCTGAGAGAAGATTGTGTGTGTGTGTGTGTGTGTGTGTGTGTGTGTGTGCGTGCGTATGCATTCATTTGTATGTGTTGATGGGTCCTTGTGCCAGAAGAGCCATTCTGGTCTAGTCTCCATTTATTTGTTTGAGGCAGGGTCTCTTCCTGAACTTAGGGCCCATGTTTTCAGGGATCCCCAGCAGTCCTGTCTCTACCGTCCTTGGACCTGGATATGGATACAATGCTCAGGGCTCATGTGAAGGGAAATAATGAAAAGGAATGAACCCTGGTGTTTCCTGCGTACCGAATGTGCTTCCCTGTGTGTCGGGCCGTACACGGTCCAGGTGCTCTGCCTTAGGTGCCTGACTGGCTCACAGTTTGAGAGGGAACAGTCTATTCCCAATGGCCCACCTCCTCCAGCAAGGCTCTAGTTCTAGAAGGTTCTGACAGTTTACCACAGGGGAGACTATTCGGACACATGAGCCATTTCACATTCAAATCACAGCCATTCTGAATGACTTCTAAGAGGAAACTCAAGTATTGGTCAAGGAAGATTCTGTTTATCAGGAAAATGCTGCCCAGAAAGTTGAACTCCAGGTTACTCTTTCTTCCTGTCTCAGAAAAAGCCACATGACTCCGGAGCTGAAGCTCCTCCAGCACATTTCCTGAGAGCCCTCTCCTGGCTGGGTTAGATTGCCCACCCAGGCTCGGGATTGTTTCTGTTATGTTTTCAGAGGAAACCCGAACACCGAGTCCTCGAGGTTTTGCTCGGACCATGGTGAGCTTCCTAACCACTTTTAGGTCTCTGTGATGGTGCTTTAGCCCCAGAGAATCTGTGTCCCTCTGACGTCCCTGCCCGAATACCGTTATATTTCATGGTCTTGCTGTCTGTCACTGTCTCTAAGGTATCAGGCTCTGTGCCCCAAAGAATCCGATGTCACTCTCTGAAGTCACTGCCTGAATACCGCTGTATTTTGTGGTCTTACTATCATTGACTCCAGTATCAGGCAATGTGGGAGCTAGGCACCTGCAAATCAGCTTCTAATGACCACACCAGTGGTTCCGTTTGTGTGATTCTATTCTGTGTAGTCAAGACACACGGGCTGCTAGGAGACTCTGTTGCTGAAGACGTAAACATGCCAAGATACACATTTACTAGACAGATTAATAGAAAAAACATTCCTTGCCTATTTTCAAGTATGAATTGAAGCACATTCACATGGCACATGGTTATAAAGAGCATGGTCGTACGTCCGTGTGAAGAGCATGGCTGTACATCTGTGTGAAGAGCATGGCTGTACATCTGTGTGAAGAGCATGGCTGTACATCTGTGTGAAGAGCATGGTCATACATCCGTGTGAAGAGCATGGTTGTACGTCCGTGTGAAGAGCATGGTTATATGTTTGTGTGAAGAGCATGGTTGTACGTCTGTGTTGGTCACAACCCAGGTTAAACCGAGTATGTTCATGAACTGTGTCAGGAAGTATTAAACAGAGGCACACAAATGGGCTTTCCACTTCTGTCAGTGTTCAGATACCAAGCTCCTTTGGTTTCCTTAAACTTCATTTCTCGCTGTTTTAATGTTTGGTGCAAAACAGGTCCTGTGTCTCTGAAAGGCAGTGGGACATAAAAAAAAAAAGAAAGAAAGAAAGAAAGAAAGAAAGAAAGAAAGAAAGAAAGAAAGAAAGACAACCGCTTTATCTTTGTTGTCTAGCCGTAAAGAACACATACACATCAGAGATATTTTGTGTGTCTTACATATCTTATGTAATTGTGAAAGATAAGCTTTTCATTAATCTTTAGATTTTTATTTCTAATTAAAGCATTACGTGACACACACACACACAGTTGTGTGTGCTAAATATTTACATCCAACATACTGTGTACATTTAGTTTTGCTTGTATGTATATGTTTTTATGGCTGGCCACTTGGTACTGGATAACCAATTAGGGAACTCACCCTGGAAGACGATTCTCCACCTCTCAGAAGTCATTATTTATAGCTCTTCATCTAGGGGTGGGACCCCACCAAAATTCCTCCATTCATGTCGGGATGCCCACTGGTGGTATCATTCTTCAGGGCTTGCTTAGGCAGCCATATTGTAGAAGTTTCACGGGTGTTGGTTCCCTGTGACGTCTAGAAGGCACGATCACACAGCTCACAGCGCAGGCTTCCTGATCCTATGCCTCCTGCAGTCCTCTCTGCCCCGTTCCCTGAGCCTTGGCTGCAGGATTTGTACTGAAGGTGTATTGCTCGGGCTGTGTCTCCCATGGACATTTGCCTTAAGATTGGCCAGCTGTGGTTCCAGTGCTTGTTTTGGTAGCTGGGATCTGTTTGTTTTTCTTGACCCTGTTTTAAAGTTCAGGTTGTACTTGATAGTGAAATGTTCCTTTGATGAGGTGTCTCCCCTCTTCTGGCCAGAAAATCAAGACAATATGACCTCATGACCATTATTGGAGTCACATTTCATTAATTTTATCGATGAAACTTATTTATGGTTCCTTGTGTCCGTTTTTGTTTTTGTTTTTGTTTTTTTAATCCTTTTTGATCTCTTCCTAGTTGTCCGGCCTTGCACTAGGCACAAGGCTGCAGAACTGAGCAGGAGCCTGTTTTTGCCCTTGAACGGTTTACTCTGAGGGTTTCGCAGTGTGACAGAGGAGACCAACACTGCGGTGTCTTGTGGAACTTTCCGGCTCTTCCTGAGGATAGGGAATCTGGGAACATGGCTGTCGTGTACTTTAAGCCAGAAGCCTTTATGACCTTGATAATATATCCGTGACGTAGTACACTGTCTACACAGCCTATGCTTCGTGTCGAAGGACAACAGAAAAAGAACCCTTGGGTTTGCTGTGGCCGGCGGCCTGCTGAGGGCCCCAGGTGTGTTCTAGCAACAGAACACACACCAAGACTCTCCCCTTTCTCTGCCCCTTTCCCTGAGGCAGCTGAACCACAGGCTTCTCGGGGAAGGGAGGTCCAGGGTCCCTGGAATCCCTGTGTGAAGCTCCCAGGACCCCTTCAGAGGGTCATGACCTATAGTTTCATAAATACTGTTCTGTTTATGTGCGAACTTGCCCCTCACCCCCAACCCAAATTTAGTTCCTAGTATTTTTCCAGGGCATTCAAAATACAGAGCAAAAAAGACAGACTTATTTCTGCATCAAAATGCAGACTTTTGGGTTTTTTCCCCCTCTTTTGTGTTGCTATATTAGATTATTTTAAGAAGCCCCCAGGGAATCCAGAATCATGTCCTTGTTTGGGGGAGGGGGATAGTTTGGAAATTCACTCTGTTCTCTCAGCTCAGTGGCTGCAGGATGGAAGGGCAGGGAGGAAGCTTGATGTCATCTCCGTTCAGTGTGAAGGCCTTGGGGCTTCTCTAGAGGGGGAGGATGGTCCTACAGTTCCCTGGGTAGGGTGGGGACTCTCAGAGGTCTGGATACCTTGGATTCAGTACCAACTAACCGTTCTAATTCAGAGTCATATAAAAATTTCTAAGGGACATTTTTGGGGGTTTTATTTTACAAAACTCTAATACCCTTCCGAGAATGTTTTAAGGGGTCTTTTTATATTAATTCCCAAATGGTGGAAGACAAGCCCAGTGGTTACAATGTCAGCTGTCAGAATTCCTCAGGCTGGAAGACCCTTTAAAGCACTCAGCGTTGATTAGCCAAATACAGTTTCCTTTCCCACAACCAGGTACATATTTCAGAACCATTGGGGTGGGGGTCACAGTTGAGTTCCTGAAAGTATTTTTGCCCAAGTATAAGAAAAATCTGAATTCAGCCAGGGGGCCCTCCATGTATTCAGTCATCTATATATCTCTATATCTCTGTGTAACATCCGGGTGCCCGGAAGGGGACAGTCAAGGTGTCCCAGTCCCTGACCCCACTGCCTCCTCCCCTCTGCAGAGGGGACAGGTGAGGGGCATGTAGAATGCCTCCTGCGTTTCCAACTCTTGGTTAGGGCACTGCTGGGGTTCTTTTCTTATCTGTAGTGTAAACTGATTGTTGAATCATCCATTTCGGAACAGTCTCCCGGGGACGAGTTTTCAACGACTTCATTGCTTTGTGGGTCCACGTAGGGCAGAAGGCTGGCCTAAGATTTAGAAATGTTGGAAGAAAATCTCAGTGACCTGTTAGCAAAACGTCAATTGTTAGACTCACATATCAGTTGCTGTGTGAGTTTTGTTTTGTTTGTTTTAACAAACCCAAGGAGTTGCGAGGTGGGGTCTTACTAATAAGAAATCTTTTGAAATCTCTATGATAGGAATGTCTTGCTTATAGACTATGAATTCCAGGAAATTCAAAACAATTTTTCTATGGCATCTTTCCATAAAGAGTAAGTTTCTTCTTCTACCTGTAAGCACACAGTTCATTTTCAGAGTGACTTGCAGGATTTGCGAAAAGTACATTGCTTTTTCTTATCAAGTGTAATATTTAGAAAATGGAGAAGCCAGCTGGGCATGGTGTCACATGCCAGAAATCTCAGATATCTCAGGAGACTGAGGCAGGAGGATTGTTGTGTGTGAGATCAAGACCAGCCTGGGCTACACAGTTTGACCCTCCTCCCTACCTGAAGGAAAAGGGGAAGGTGGGAAGGAAGGAAAGAAAAGAGAATAGAGACAGCTTTTCCACCTCAAGAGTCAGAGAACGCCATCCCTGTCCTTGTCTGGCAGTGTATGGATCAGGGTGCCTCTCCCGACCAGGAGGCAAGAAATGCGCCTTCCCCTCAGAGGCTCCCTGAAGCTGTGCAGGGTCCCGAGGATGCTCTCAGCTCTGTGTGAGTCGCTTTATAAAACCACGTCTGGAATGTTTGCACGCAGATAGCCTCAGTGCAGGCCGGTGCTACAGAGCTGATTAGGCCAGCTGGCATCTCTCCTTGTGGAGGAGCAGTGAGGTGTGACACAGGTGTGGCAGACCAGATTTATTTGCACGTTCTCACGTCACCAGCATCATGGACCGCTCGGTGCGTGTTGACATACCTAAGTTTAGAGCAGGATCTCTGGGCTTCGTGAGGTGTGGGTAGGAAGTGAGGAGAGAACAGAAGCTCTAGATGGCCCCTGGAGTTGTTGTCTGTGAAGCTGTTCCCGGGAAGGATGACCTCTTAAAAGCAGACGTGTGCATCCTCGCTCAATGAGATGAAGCCTTTTGTCTTCAATTCCTCTGTTAGAATCTCCCGCTCTTGTACAGTGTTCTCCTTAACCTGGGTTCTAGGTGCGTTTTTCTCACATTGGTACAAAGTTTTGTGTGTGTACCTATGAAGAGTGTTCTCAAATGCTGTGTAGCTCCCAAGGGCTCTCAGACCCCGGTTATAGAATTCCTTCCCTCGGGAGGCTTCCCACTAGTCTCCTCATCACACCACCCCTCCACTGAGTTCCCTGTTGCTTTTGAAGCTCATGACACTCAGCTTTGTGCATATTTTCGTGTGTGAGTTGGATAAAGATTGAGGGTAGACTCTTCAAACTACTCTTTGGATTTCTTAGAGACTGTCGCATGCCGCCTGTCCCATTTTTCAGAGGGAGATTTCTTTGTTGCAGTCTGCGTCGGCTCTTCTCTCTGACTCCCAAGGACAATCTAACTATAAAAACCTCTGCAGGGTTGGTTTGTTTCTTAATTTGGGGATGGCAGCTTAAACCTTGATCCCCCGCCTCAGCCTCCTGAGTGCTGGATTCCACGTGAATCACCACATCCGGTTTGTAATTATTGTTTCTAAGTGATAACTGATCCTAAAGGTTTTCATTCTGCCCTTTTTGTTTCTTTTTCTGTTTTTCAGCCTAGAAGAAATTAGGCAATTTAGCCATAGTTCTTTCAAATGTTTGGGCTGAGCTCTCCTCACATTCTGAGGGGATTTTATACCTTCCTGCTTTTGCTGGGTGCTGGGTGTCTGCATCCTCCCTTATGTGAGGTTTGCTCAGGTGGAGAAAGAACGGGAGAGGAAGACTTCTGAGGATTTGGTTAGCTTGAGCTCATGGAACTTTTTGTGCCTGCCAAATGACAAAAGGTGGGGGGAGTATTGAGTATTTGTATTTTCCTTTTAATTTCCCAACCATAGTGTGAATTCTTTGTTGCCAAGTGGCTTTGGGGCTTTGCCTGGGACATCTGTGCCAGAGTCAGAGAGACTCATCTTGGCCAGACATGGCCACATATTGAAGAAGGAACCGTTTCCAGGAAAACTCAGAGCTAAGCTTCTTAGAAATCTTTCCTTGATTGTCGGAGCCAGGCCTCGACACTCAGACCATCTGGGGAACTTTGGACCCGAACACACCAGTGTCTGTTTCATGCATCTTCTCATTTCATAAGCTTAAAAATATTTTTGTTCATTGAGATGTGTATTTATTGATTTTACACATTTTGAGCAATGCTTTCGCGTCTGCCTTAGGACTGACTGCAAAACAAGGAAAGAGTCAGCGACCCTGGAGATGACAGTTGCTATTCTCTGGGCCTTGGTGGTTCTCAGTGAGCTACAGGCACACCCTACACAACCACTTACCGTTAGCCAGCGTCCGCGAAGCTCTGTAGTTCTCTGGTGCAGAAGCCGGGCCTCCCGCCCTCCCTCTTAATAGCATGCTCTCCCTGTCGCATGCACCTCTGTGTTCAGGCAGGGCTGCAGTCTGGACATCTGCCTCTGCTCCGCTTTGACGGTATCTCTTGTGTCTGGCTGCTATCGATCTGTTTATTTCTAGATGACGACGGTGACTCCAGAGTGTGCTATGTGTCTGAACAACCAAGGAACACATTAGTTTTCTGGGGCTGTTGCTGACATCACAGTTCATTTAGTACTTTGATTTGATTCTGTGCTCGCTCCAAGTCTAAAAATGGTCCTGTGTGCAGAAATAGCTCCTGATAGTTTGAGAATTGCTGCTTGAGATTTGTATTTTGCTGCAAATTAACTAGCTAAAACCCCTTTGAACGTAGCGGTTTCTTCAGTCTCTTTTTCGATCTTTTGGGTTACCTATACATTTACAGAGTGGCTACAGGGAATCAGTAGTGTTGTTGCCTGCAACATACTGATATCAATACTCGATTCAAGATGCGTCTTTTTGCGTAGTCTGTTTGGAAATTAAGATGGACACATTTGGTAGTTAGCGAGCAAATGCTATTGTATGTGTGTGTGCAAACTCTCTGTAGACTCATATGCCTTGTGGCATCAGAAAATGGAGAATTAAAAGATCCTGCCGGCATTTAGAAGGTGCTTGCTATAAGCTAAAGCATGGGTTTTGAAAAGTAAGAAAAGTGTGGTGCTTTATTTATCTATAACTTGGGCACTCTAGTAAATGAAATTGGTTCTCGATTGTCTCTTACCAAAGAAGGCAGAGATCAAAGTGGGCCAGCAGCCATAGCGAAAGTCCAAACAGTTGAGTTTCTATGCTCTACTCTGGGGATTGTACAAACTCAGATGTGTGCAGGGGCCATTTGAGGCCAGACAAGGGCTGGAGCCTCTGGGGCTGCAGGTACAGATGGTTGAGAGCCACCACTCAGGGTGCTGGGGACCAAACTCGGGTTCTCGATGAGAGCAGTAAGCACTCCTAACCATCTCTAGCGCCTCTTCTCTTTTCCGCAGAGGCTGTATATCATCACTGTTTATCCCGTCTGATCGCTGGGGTTCATGGCTTTGGAAATCCCCGTTGTGCTGGTAGCTAGAGTGGGGAGGGCAGCTGCCCTTGGCAACTGCTCTCTTGGCTTTCAGCAGTTTTCTTTGGCAGAGCCTACCTAACTTTGTACCGGTTGGAGGAAGTCACCTGGAAGAGAAGAAGGTCCTTTCTGTCTGGGCCCAAGGGAAAAACCCACTGTAGAGGGTTCTGTTCTCTAATCCCAGCTTAGTGTTCTGAGTTGAAGGGTGAGGAATCCCTGAGGAAAGGTCATTTTTATTCCCATGCTACCAGTTTGGGGTACAAGAGAGTGTTCTGCGTTCTTTGTTTCATTCTTAGTGGGTGAGCCATGTTTTAGTCCAGATGACTGGGACTAACTAGGTGACGTAGCCGCTAGGTAGTAAAACAATTGCCGGGCATGGGCAGCATTTAGCTTAACCACGTATGGCATCATATACATTGATCTGGAGCTGCCTATGATGCTCTTGGCCATGAGCCGTGAAGTGTATAGGTACTGCCTAGGTGCTGGAATCGGCACTGAGCTCTCTCCTTGCTTCCTTGGTCTCTAGGTTACGCTGCATCTGAGACCCATCTCCTCAGTGCACATTCACTACAAGCCTGTTGTGTTCCTGCTCAACTCCCCACAGCCCCTGGTCTGGCATCTGAAGACAGAGAGACTGGCCAACGGCGTTCCCAGACTTTTCTTGGTAAGTATTCAACACCTTCCCCTGAAATGCTCCTAGTGCAAGTTTATAATGACTCTCAATTTTTGCAAGACATTTTGTTTCTGGAGGCAATATTTTGCTACGTACCCAAGCCTAACTTCCCTCGGTCCTTCTCAGTGTCCCGAACGCAGCTGGGATTATAGTTTTGTATAGTGTGCCAGTTTGTAAAGCATTTTGAAAAAAAAAATCCTTTCCATTAAAATGATACCAAAGGAGGTTGTGCTGGATGGCATAGTTAAGAATCCACAGAGAGTAGATGCAGCTCGTGTTATGTGGAGACAGAGTCGGGTGTCGTTTGCACGGTGGTGCAGGACCTGCTGCCATACTCTCTGTGGCCTGAGTCCTGGTGTTCCCTTCCGCCTCGTGGCATTAAGAGCACTGTCAGAGCTGTAAATAGCCTCTGCTGTGTGGTCTCTGACCACAAAATAAATACACACGAGCCCGTTTCTGTTTGTATATAACTCGGGCCTCATTCCTGATACGAGAGACTGTTGACAAAGTGATACAGTGAGCTCCAAGCATGAAATAATTTGTATTTTATTTTTTTAAAAAAAGCTGGAGCCCAGCTCTTTGTAGACTGCTCCAAATATTACCTACTATTTGTAAATCATGTCCCTTGGAGTTTGCCAGAACGTTCGACTTTGCTAGTTGTGGAGAAATGGATGGGTTGTTGGGTTGAGATGCTTGTCGTGTGATATCATGTCTGATGAGCACTGGCGTTGCAGCTCGGCGGGGATCCCTCTCAGTGTTGTGAGGGCTTCACGCTGTCCTCGTGACAGAGCCCCAGGCCCCCCAGATCTCACCTGTAAGCAGCGACTCCGTTAGCAGGTTTCTTTCGCCCAGTGAATCGATGTTGCCTCTCTAGTGACTTTAGTACAGTTTGGAGTTTACTGTCACTTGCATTTATTTTAAAGGCATTTTGAACCACTCAAAGGTATCTGCTGAATGAGATGAGGATTCACGTAGCTGGAAGTTGAATAAATATGTAAAGTAGGAAAGATAGGGCAGCCCTTATGTGTGAAAATCTAATTATTAAATACACGTGGGGGAAATGATGGAGTTGGAGCTGCTGTTTTGTAACCATCACAGTGAGAGCTGATCAGACAAGAATCTCCAACAGATGTTAGGCCCAGTTACTGGAAGAGGAGGGGTTTGGAGGGGCTGAATATTCAGATACTCTCAAAATACTTTTCCCACAAATTATTTATTAAGAAGAGAAGAAAAATTGTAACTATAGACCGTGGGGAATCATCGGGAGTGCTTCAGGCAAGTGATCAGAATTAATGACACCAGCATGAGGCAGACAGACAATGTGTCTATAAATGAGTAAGAACAAACATCCCTTGCATCTTAGTCAGGGTTTCTATTGCTGTGATGAAGCCACCACAACCAAAGCAACTCGGGAGGAAAGGGTTCTTCTGGTTTACCCTTCCACATCAATGCTCATCACCAAAGGATGCAAATAGGGCAGGAACCTGGAGGCAGGAGCTGATGCCGAGGCCATGGAGGGTGCTGCTGACTGGCTTGCTCAGCCTGCTTTCTTCTAGAACCCAGGATCAACAGCCTGGAGAGAGCATCACCTAAAGTGAACTGGGCCCTCCCCCGTCAACTACTGCTTAGGTAAATGCCCTACAGCTCGATCCTGTGGAACATTTTCTCAATTGTGGTTCCCTCCTTTCTAGATAACTCTAGATGGAGTCCAGTTGACATGAAATCAGCCAGCAGACCTTATGTAGCAATATTGCCAGAACTGTGTGTAGGCTGGATCTAATCCTGATGAAAGATCGGACAGAACAAAATAAAGCAACATCCTATAGAACCATCCAGTTCTCTAAAAAGTGAGCCTTCCAGGGCTGGAGCGATGGCTCTGAGATTGAGAACACTGTCTCCTGTTCATTTCTCAGTACCCACATGGTGGCTCTCAGCCACCTCCTGGAGGCAGGATCGCCATTTCAGGCTGAGGTCAGGGTAAGAGCCAAGTGGCTGACTGCTTTGCTTTTCAGATCTCCAGGTTGAACCCCAATTTCTCTCTCTGAGTTTTCTTAACCGTGCATCAACTGTGTATACTTTGTAGACCAGTATTGTCTTGAACTCACAGAGATCTGATGTTCTCTGCCACCTGAGTACTGAGATTAAAGGCATGCACCACCATGCCTGGCAACTTTTTTTTTAAAGACTTAAAAATCTTGCTATTTTACATGTAAAAGACTAGCAAAATGATAATTAGTGGCCATTATTATTATTACTTTGAGTTAATGCTCAGTGCCATTCAGGAATTGCACCAAGGGCTCTAATACTTTATCTCATTTTTTTTTCTCACAGTAACCCCAAGGGTATCTCCTTTTTATAGGTGACTTAGAGGCTTAACAGCACTAGGCTAATTTCTGGCAGGGTTTGGATTTAAGCCTAAGCTAGGACCCACTCTGCAGCACATATGCTGAATTGCCACCTTCATACGTAGTTGTGCCGGCCTTCTGTAATTAAACCTACTTGTGATAGTAAGACACAAGGTTCTCATAAAGCCATACACATTTACTCTGTATACTGTAGTCCAATGCTACAGAAACTACCTATGCACAGCTGTTTAATTAAATCTAAGCTGAGGTTGATGGCGCAGGCCTGTAATCCCAGCTGCTCTGGAGGCTGAGGCAGGAGAATCACAAAGACTGTGAGCTGTTTAGTAAAGTCGAAGCTGGCGTTGGCAACATAGGCCCTCTCTCAAAAAGTGGAAAGGGAGCCATCGATTGGGTGGAGCATTGACATAGCATTCACAAGGCCCTGCGTTCAAGTCCCAGAACCTAAATAAATTTTAAGATCCAATTCTTGCGCTGCATACCCGGCCCTTGGGATACCATCGTGGTAGCCAGGATAGCAGCAGATGTGATGAGCAGAGACTCCCCCCGGACAGCGGTGGTCCAGGTGGTAATTAGAAAGATTCATCTCTGCAAACCTGACTTTTCCCAGCTATAATTTAGGAATAATGACAGCCTTGTGCTTAGAAGCAAGCATTATCTTGACGTGAGGAAATTGCGTTTAAAATGTTACGAGCATTGTCCACCACTGCTGAGTTCATGTGCATTTGCTGTTTCTGCTGCCATTATCAGAGCAATGAGTGCTTGGGAAGGGTGTGAAATTAGCACTGGTGACTGTAAAGTAACAGTTGGATGGCTCCAGAGTTACAGTTCCCACTTCTCTGGGCTGTGGGTTCCACACACACTGTAGTCTGCTCACTGCTGCTGGAGTCCACTCTGTGGGATTTGGAGGGAACCAGCTTTGTTATTATTTGTTCCCTCTGTGAACTCGAAGAGCTCCGTCTTGACTATTAGTTGGAAATGCACTAATGAAGAAGATAATTTCAGTATACAACTTAACATCAGCCTTATTTGGAGTTAATTCCATGTAAGGACATCGCAGAGGGACACTGGAGAGGAAGCTATGGAGAAGTGACTAACTGAAATCCCCGGACACCCAAGCTTGGCTCCCTTTGGCCTTCTCTGTCTGCTCGTTCTCCATGGCCTGGGTCGTCAGCAAGACATCGGTTTCTCAGCCAGATCAGGGCAGCACAGGTTTGAGATGGCTCGCAGGTGGGAAACTCCCCCTCCCCAAGGCCTATGATGGATTAGTGTCCCTCATCCATGTCACAGCCTTTGTGAGGATAGAGAACCAAGAGCATGTTCAGTTTGTCCATCCCTGAAGTGTTTCTCCAAGCATGTCAGTAGCCCAGAGGCTTCGTAGGAGCTAAGCCCTGAGATTACTCAGTGAGCTTAGAACTGTCTTGGAGAAAGGCTGGTGGACCCTCAGTCCAACATAGATACATGTGTTCTCATGCCCTTGTGACATGTAACAGTAAAGGGGTCACATGACTGTCTCCAGGCTGTCTTTTCTGTTACAGTTATAATTCTTTAGTGGTTGTTAATTTTTCTTATGCAGGATGGTGAGAAAAGTTTGGATAATGGCATCTGCCAGCGAATTTAAATCAATAAGCCTTGGTTGTTTTAACTGCCTACAGCATGTGTAAAGACTTGTGTTACTCAGAATGTCTCATTTGCTGATTTCTGCAATATAAAATGTGTTTTGTTTTTCTGTTATTATTACACTATCTGATAGAGACATCTGCTTTTTGTCAATTCATCATTCCTAATCCCATAGCACAAGCAAGAAGTGTGTCAGGCACCAGAGGGATGGGGTGGGGAGAATTTAGTTTTCTTTGCAAATGCAGTTGCTTTGTCCAGATTACCAAGCAGCTAGGGATGGATGACGTGTTTCAAAGTGCGCCTCAAGTCACATACAGGCACATGTGTGACAAAGTTGTCAGAGCTTTACAATATTTTCTGGGCGGTCCAGAGACTATTCAGTAGATCTGGATTGTCCCTGGGTACAATCAGAAAGAACAATAATCCTGCCACAGGGGTAGCTAGCTTAGTGGTAGAACACTTGCCTCATATGCATAAGCAATGAGCTCCATTCCCAGCACTGCATGTCACTGGGTGCAGTGGCCCGTGCTGTTGTCCCAGCACTCAGGGAGATAGAAGCCGGAGGGTCAGAAGGTAAGGGCACCTGGTCTTCATGAGACCCTGTCTCTAAAGCATGTGCGTGTGCGTGCTATAGTTTGAATGAACATTTCTCCAAGGACGAGATACAAATGACAAAGGAAAGCTCATAAGATGTTGAGTGTTACTGAATATCAGGGAAAATCCACCAACCACAGCACTGACCACCTCAGAGACAAAACAGACAGAAAGCAACAAGTGTTGTCAGGGTGTCGAGAAATTGAAAGATTCGCACATGCTGGGCGGAAAACAACATGGTTTTTTTATATAGTCACTCGGGGTCCCTGCCCACAAATATCCAGAGCAGAGTTATTTGTATCCCATACTGCATCATGAATGGACCTTGAAAACATGCTCAATGTCACAGAATTGCAGATCGTGTGATTCTCTTTGTTTAAGATGGCCAGACAATCTGTAGAGACTGGGAGTCAT